AATCCAAGGCCTCTTGGTAAGCTTTGCTGCTTACCCGGCCCGAACGCAGACATCAAGCACCTTCTCTAATCCTCATCCCTCCTGTGAAAGAGCAGACTGCATTCTCTCTTATCACAGATGGGAACAAGCCTAGGCCGAGCCAGACTCAGTGACCTGCCCAAGGTTTTGCAGGCAGGGCCCCACCTGAGTCTTCTCTCTCCAATACCCGCGTCATTCTCCACAAGGCCTCTCAGGGGTCCTTCAGGTTTCCTGGTGAGGATTCTGGTGGGACTACCAGCCTCCCCACAGGAGTGGTGGCTCCATCAGGCCTTCACCTCAGCCCTGAGGACGAAATTGTCCAGGACAAACAGGCCAGTCGAGCCTCTGAAGTGAGGTTCTAACACCAGGGAGAACCCAGTGATCTACGTGGTGTCTCTCACGTGAATCAGCCTGCTCTGTAGAGGCCTCCACAAGCATCAACCACCGTGAGTCTTTCTCTTTTTAATTCAAGTCCTGACTTAGGCAGAAAGGACCTTGGAAAGAAAGGCACAGGACATTCTGGATCTCAAGTGCCTCAGCATTAACAACTAACATGAGCAGGCACCTCTGCTCACCAAGCATGCATTACATGTTGGGCACTCTGTTCAGCGTTCACACCCACCAGCTATGTAACCTCTATAATGACCCAAGAGCTCAGGGTACCATCATCACCATCTCACAGACAAGAAGACCGAGGCATGAAAGATAATGTATAATAAAGCGGTTGTGCTGGGGCTAACCTGGCTCTGACTCGGAAGTGCTTACTCTTTCCACTGCTGCACAAGCGGCCTAAAACAATGGGTTAATTTTCATTATGTAGAATGGAAAATTGAACTATAAAAGTACTTTGGTTTTTAAATGGGTTATTCTTTAGGATAAAAATAATCCTAAAAAAGAATTTCCTAGAAGCTCAATATATTCCTCTGGAGGGTGAATGAGGCTAAACTGCTGAGGGTCCCCAAAGGCTCCTTTACAACCCTAAGCAACAGACATTTAACTTACACTGTCCAAAGATGGTTATAAAAGGCATAGATGGAACATTCTAAATTAAGGACTTTCGATGGTGGGGGGGTGGCACCAGATAGGACCAGCCAGCTTAGCCAGTGGGGTTCCCCACTACCCCAAAATGTTTCAGCTGCATAAAGTGATTTATCAAAACCAATCATCGTAAGTACCTATAAAGTGACTGGGACACAACTGACAGGTTAGGAAGATATTCAGACCACTTAACAAAGCCAATATAATCTATAATCTTAATTATTAATAAGAGAAACCGTTTACTGAACATTTACCATACACCAAACATGCTAGGTGCTATTACATGCTCTAATCATCACAACCCTGCCAAGTACACTGAAGGACCTGTGAGATTCAGCCAGGCTGAGTAACTCACCCAAGGTCACACAGCCAACAGAAACTAGATTCAAACCAGGTCTGAATCAAAGCCCATACATGGCTTACTGAAAAGTTTAGGAATACAGACCCTAAACTTTGTGATAATTGATAAACTAAACACTTAATTTTTACACTTCTCTGTACGTATGTTACATTTCAACAGAAAAGTGTTAAAAACAAAATACACAGGGGGAAAAAATAAGGAAAGTTCTGGAGGTAGCCTGCCTGGGTTCAAATCCCAGCTCCTCCACTTACCAGATGTGTGACCTTAGACTAGTTTCTTAACTTCCCCGTGCCTCAATTTCCATGTAGTAAAATGAGGACAATAACAGACCTTATCTCATTAGGCAGCTGACAAGATTAGGGGAAGAATCCACATAAAGCCTTTAGAATGGTGCCTGGCATAAGCTAAGCCTTAGAAGACGCTGGCTGCTGTTACTCTTTCCTGGGCACCAGATAGGGCCAGCCAGCTCAGGCCCACTATTTTAGCAACTCATTTGCATAAGCAAGCCCAGACACAGCCAGTCTGTCTCTGCACAGCCTCACTGTACATCTTCTTCCTGTCACTAATCTCTCTCCTCATACCTGCTCTGTGGCACCGAGTGCTGGGCCTCAACTTCCCCATCTGTAAAATGAGGTGATTAGCCCCACTGATCTACCTGAGTTCCTTCCTGCTTGCCAATCTAGAATTCTAAACAACCCAGGCCCTAGAAACTTTATATACGCCCTAAAACAAACACTATCAGACAACATACAGTCATTTTCCTAAAATCCTCTTTTACATATTATGTATATGTCTATTTTGATGCCAAATCTTCTCCAAGGTCTCAAAGCTTCACGAGCACCCACACATGCTGGGCAGGCATCCCCTGTGCTGAGGCTGGTGCAAGGTGGTCAGAAGCTCTGACCAATGGGGGGACAGATTCTAAAACAAGTTGCTCTGATAAGCTGTGTCCTCACTGTTAGACAGGCCTTCAACAGAGCACAAGCGAGGGGAAGTGGAGGCATGAACGATGGGAACTTACCCGCTGCACAGAGGGGAGTAGGGCAGTGGGACGGAAGGATGGAGAAGTGGAAAGGTCGAGGGGTGGAGAGGCAGAAGGAGGGTGCTAGCAGAGAGGAACTGCAGGGGCTCAGAAGCCAGGTGAGGCAGCACCCACGCTAATGTGAGAGGGCAGGCTGGGGGCAGACTGTGAAAACAGCTCCCCAAGCATGAAGCAGGCCCAGCTCAGCACAAAGTGCTGAATGGGGACCTGCCAGGACTTGCTGGACCGTGGAGGACAGTAAGGTGAACAGAGCCTGGCCCAGTGACCTGCCTCAGTTTGAATCTCACCCCTGCCTCTCTCCAGCTGGCTGACTCTAAACCAGTTACTTTACCTCCCTTAATGTTTCCCAAAGGATAAATTCACTCAGTAACCCTGAGCCCTAGGACATACCAGGTTCTCATTAGGGCTGGGATCAGATGAAGCCCACAGTCTCAAGGGGTCAAACATACATGACAACTAAGACAGCAGTAAGACAGCCTTGGGGGTCGGGAGGGGCAACTCAGGTGGGCAGGGGGTAGGAAGAAGTCATGCCCAAACTTGAGACATGGTTGGTACTGGCGGATAAACTGAGCAAGAGGAAACGTTCCAGGATTGCTGTAAGGACTAGCAGGGTCCATGCAAAGCACCCGACAGCGTGCAGCAGCAACCCATCCTCTATGAAGGCAGCCAAGAAGACAAGATGCCAACATCCTGCAGACACCAGCCCCCCGCTAGCCTCGGGAAATAAAATAAGTCCACGCCCAGGGGCCTCCGGCACAAAGAACTTTCTAAAGCAAAGCTTCCAATTCAACGCTGGAGAAAACGGTGCCCTGTGCAACTTGAAGACAGAAAATGTTTCAATGGCCAGGCAAGGATCCGGCCACTAAAATGCCCTCTGCCAGCTCCCGGGGTCTGGAGTCCGCAGGCCAGTCCTCGGGCTTCCTGAGGAGCCTTCCTCACCACGGCCTCACCCCTACAGCTTTGAGCCACCGCCATTCCTCCCTCCTTCCTCGTGGCAGCTCCCTGCCCAGGAGGGCCGCCTGGGGAGCGCCCGCCACCCACCCACCCACGCACACACGCCTGCGTGCTCTGGCCTCTCAGCCCTCCCAGTGGGAAGCATGCCCAGGTCTCTGAGGCAGAGGGGGTCTGTGGCCCAGGAATGGGGGGCTCTGAGGCAAACAGGAGTCCCCGGCCCTGACACAGTGGATCCGGGGAGATGGGTCTGCGACCCAGGGAAATGGATTCTGAGAAGGAAGGGGACCAGAGCTCCAAGGTGGAGGGGGGTCCCGGGGATCGGGGGCTCCAACGTGGGGGAGGCTCCAAGGTGGAAAGCGTTTCCGTGGGTCAGGGACTCCGAGGTGGAGGGGTCCCGGGGGTTGGGGGCCCGAGGCGGAGGGGGTGTCAGGGGTCGGGGACTCGAGGTGGAGAGGGTCTCGAGGGTCGGCGTCCGGAGGCAGAGGGGGGGTCGGGGGCTCGAGGTGGAGGAGGTACCAGGGGTCGGGGGCCCGAGGGTCGGGGGTCCGAGGTGGAAGGGGTCTTGGGGTTCGGGGTCCCGAGGCGGAGGGGATCTCGGGGGTCGGGGGCCCGAGGCGGAGGGGGTCTGGGGTTCGGGGGCCCGAGGTGGAGAGGGTCCCGAGGGTCGGGGGTTCGAGGTGGAGGGGGTCTTGGGGTTCGGGGTCTGGAGGCGGAGGGGGTCCGAGGTGGAGGGGTCCCGAGGGTCGGGGGCCCGAGGTGGCGGGGCCGGGGGGTTCCGCGCGCCGAGTGGGCTCCTCTCCGGGCCCGGGAGCCCCGCGCGTCTGAGGGGGAAAACTTTTCGTCAAGTTCCGGAAAAGGAGCGTGTCAGGGCGCGCGCCTCTCCGAAGGGCGGACGAGCCGAGTGCCGCCCGGACCCCACGACGGTCCCCGGGCTCCCACGCGCTCCCCGGGCGCGGAGGAGGCGGCAGCCGCGCAGCGAGGGGCGCCCGGTCAGGACCCGCACCCGCGCCGCCCGCCCCGCCCCAGGCCGCCTCCCTGCTCCGGGCGACGCGGCAGCAGGTGGCAGCACCCCGCGCCCCGGCCCTCCCTCGCGGCCCAGGCCCGCCGGAGGCCCTCAGTACCCGAGTCAGCACGGTTGCCACGCCATCCCGGGCCCGCGGGTCCGCAGCCCAGGCCCCGCCAGACCCGCAACTCGCGCAGCGAGGACGCCGTGCGCGCGGCAGGTGGCGGGCCGGCAGGGCAGGTGCACGCGAGCCGCCTGTAGCCAACAGCGGC